CTGGCCGCCCCCCTCCCTGCCCTTCGTGCCCGGCTCAGGAAACACCCTGCGGGGGGCGTTGGGCCCCGGCGGTAGGCGGGGAAGCGGGCCGGCGGTTACGGGGCGGCCGGGCCCGGGGCGTCTGAACCGCGGAGCAGCGGGGGCGCAGCCGGGGCCCAGGCGACCCTTCCGGAGGTTCCTGGCGGGACCTCGGCCCCGGCCCGAGCCTGTCCCGAGTACAAGAACGTTTGGGACTCACGACCCCAAAACTGCGATGATGGGGGCGGGCCTCTGAGCAGCAGGTGACACGAACAACCCATTGGTCCTGCACATTTTAAGTGGGGTGCTCAAAATCTGTCTCGCCCTTGCGGAAATAACAAGACTTTGACATCACATTCCTCAGTGTGCGTGCCTCCCCGGGCCCCGCCGGTTAGTGGTTTTGCAGGATTTCAGCGAGTTCAAAGCAGATTATTTCTTTCATACCGCTATTACTAGAGTTTATAATGCAGTCTCATAAAATCATATCATGACCTGAATAAAAGGAAGAGCCTGACTGGTGTAGCATGAATCGGAAAAGTGTGCGTGTGTCTTCTTCAGAATTTGGAAGTCTGTCTCTTGTTCAGATTCAAGCTTTCACCGCGGTGTTTTCTACTTGAGTCTAATAGGGTTGTTTGAAGGCAAAACTTCCCAACTCTTGTAGTCATGAAAAATAAACGACTTTGCAGTTTTGTTTTTATGTGTAAAGGACTTGCACATGTTCTGTAATGTATACATCAGTAGCACAGGGCAACTTCACTATTGAACTTTTGTATTGTATATTTGTAAATTATTCTTCTCTCTTTTGAAAATTCTCTGACCTGACTAGTTGATTTCATTCTAGATGTCGATCATTTTGGTTAATTAAGTATTTTTTAATGTGTTCTGGAACCATTACCCTGTTTCTGTGTCTTATTCCCTGGACTTCTCTTGAAGAGCATAGTTGATAGTTAATATTTTTATAAACTTTCTCTGCTTGATTTTCATCAGAGAGTTCCACGGACTGGCTGGGTGTATAGAAATGTCGAGAGGCCAGAGAGTGTATCAGATCACATGTACCGGATGGCAGTTATGGCTCTGGTGACCAAAGATGATCATCTTAACAAAGACCGGTAAGCTATAAACTTTAGTGCTTGTTAGGGTCTCTGGGCTGTGATTCTCCACCACTATCATGGCTGAGGACTGTGTCAAATTCTCGTATGTTTGTTTTATATGTCAAGAAAAAGTATTTGAGGCAAATCATACAGATTTAGGATGTGGGAAGGGGAACTATGTGTGTTGATTGTATCCGTTGTTAATTGAACTCTGGGTTTTCTGTTGGGAAGGAAAAGAGCCTGCCTTGGTCTTAAAGAAACCTAAGTGTGATATTTGGGTTTCCAGGGCCTCTGAGGGTGAGTGTGTTATGTCTAAAATTCTATGACTTTATTAGTCCACTATATGCTTTTATGTAGCTCCTTTTATGAATATTAGCACCCATCTGTGAGGTGACTTTTTGGAGTGGTATGTAGAAGATATAACTGAGAAAGAGATATCTTCTCTTCCTGCAGGTAATCAGTGGTGTGTAGAATGCTTTTTGAGCACAGGAGAGTTTCCTAGCAATATGACAGTAAATAAATCCCAAATGAATTATATAGGCCCCAAATGGCTTCTATAAATAGCACAAAATAAGTTACGTTAGAAACTTAGCACAGTATTCTAACAGGAGACTTCACCTGTTCTTGGGTGATCTTGAGGGGATGGAATCTGAGATGCATTCTGAAGGGTTGATTAGGCAGGGAAGTAGAAGGTACAACACGCAGAGGGAAGGGCATAGAAACCAAAGTCATGGTGGCAAGAAAGTAAAGGTATACTTTGGAAACGATAAGTACATCAATTTAATTGTAGCAAAGGTTCATTAGGGAGTCTGAGGAACCCTGTGTACTCTGTAGATAATGTGGAACTGAGATTTTTGGCAAACAGTACAAAATGAACACGGTGTTGAATGGAGATGAAGCTAAGAGGAGTATGAGATTTGAACTGGCTGAGAGAAAGGCTGTAGGCGGGGACACCTAAGAGGAGGTGGTTAGGCCTTACACTATCTTGCTAATCGTGGGAACATGAAACAAACTGGCCCTCTGGGGCATTTATCTCATGACCTTCCTTCATTATTCTGACAATGAGTATCCTGAAAACTAGTCAGTATCACTAATAATCAGCCATTTATGGAATAATCAAAATGTGCCAGGAACATAAATTATCAAGTTTAATTTTAATACCAACCTCATGAAGTATTATTCCTTTCTTACAGATGATAAAATGAAGGCCAACAAAACTTAGCATTTAAAGAAATTAAATAACTTAGCAAAGGTCACACAGCTAATAAAACTTGGTTGCTGTATTTGAACCCAGATCTATCCAAACTCCATTCATTTCTGTATAAAGGGCCACGTTTTGACATCTAACTAGTATGTTGGGGAAATGATTGTTTTTGAGTTTTGTATCAGTTAAGTAAACTATAACCAGATCATCTCTTGGCTTTGCAATCGTTATCAATCTCTTAAAGTAATATTTGAGAAACCAGCCATTTTTTAAAAATACATAGGCTGACAATTTTCTCTGCACTCTCATGTATTTTGTTGAATATTAACTAGCAATTTTGATTCAGAACTGTTGAAGGTTGGCAGAATATAATTAGTTTAGAAAATACTGCATTAAAATACTCTGTGAAGATGGAGAAAGAAAAATATATTATGTAACTTCAAAATAACAGAAGGAATTTATAGCGAATATAATTCTGTGTAATTTTTCACCATTTCTCGCCTGGTCAGATGTGTACGCCTAGCCCTGGTTCACGATATGGCAGAATGCATCGTTGGGGACATAGCACCAGCAGATAACATCCCCAAAGAAGAAAAACATAGGCGAGAAGAGGTCAGTGTTAACTATTGGCTTCACAAGAGACCACCACAAAAACCTGTTGCTGAAGTAAAGCTAAGTTTATTAAACCTGTTGGAGTAAGGGAGAACTACCTCAACAGAGTCTTAGTGTCTCAGGAAGGGAAGGTCAGGGGAAGATATTTATATAGAGTTTTAGGGCCTGGGCTGGAGGAAGTTTAGATGGATCTTACAAAATGGGCAACTAGTTGACATATACAGATTTTAGGACATAATAGCCTTGGTGAGGCAAAGTCTTAAACAGACTCTTGAAGAGTAAACTGTTAGTGTTTACTCTATTTTGGGGTGGTTTACAGTCATATCTTCCAGAAATAAGGATGTCCTGGAGTAAGAGTGAATTGGTTCTTGGTTGTTCTCAATCTTCTTTAACACAAGAACAGGAAAGTATGCCTTCTCCCAACCATGTTTAAACTCAGGGACAGGAAACTATATTGATTTGAGTTCTCACTAGTATGTGGACAGAGGTAGCATGGCTTTCATTAGAACAATAGAAATAGTTAAACTTGAAGGAATTTTCCATGTGAGTTAAGCTCTTTGAAGAGTTCTATAAATTATAAATATATATAGTTATTATTCGGTGAATTTTAAATTAGTCCTTGAACCTGTTTGTATTAGTAAGAAATGAACAACATCAATAAAATATTAAGTCAATATTATTATTATTTTATTTTATTTTTCTTTTTACGCCTACAGCACCCGGTCTTCCTAGGTGGTCTCTCATCCAAGTACTATCCAGGCCCTACCCTTCTTAGCTTTCGAGATCAGACGAAATCAGGTGTGTTCAGGGTGGCATGGCCAAAGACTATTAAGTCAATATTAATTTGGGATTAAACCCAGAGGCCAGGGCCAAGAGGCTAGAAAATCCAAGGAGGCTTTCTTTTTTTTCCTTTTTTCTTTTTTTAAATAATGCTGACTGGCTGGTTCTCATTTCAGGCATTATGGAAGCTACTTTTATTATAGGCCAGATATCCTAAATTGCTAAGTGGACACATCATTTCTCAAGATGGTTTAACCGGGTAGGTAGCCTTAAATAGCTATTCTCAGACTTGAGGAGAAATGAGCTCAGTAGCCAACTGCATTTTTGCCCCTCTAGAGGGAAAATCCACGAGGAATCCCAATTTAGGAGTTCTAACACATCCTAAATTATAGCAACAAGAGGAATAGTATGAGGAATGTATTTCTTCCAGCTAAAATATAGGTCCAGAATATAGGCTCAGCATCATGGCAGCCTGTAAAAAGGGAGGTAGCTAAGGAAATGTTTCTCTGTGGGAGTTTAGACTGTCGTCGTGATATGATAACTGTAGGATATATAAATGTCCAATCACTATGCTGTATACCTGAATCTAATATAACATTGTATGTCAACTATAACTGAAAAATAAATTTTAAAAAATAATCTTAAAAAAAGGTTAAAAGAAGACATTCGTAAAAAAAAAAAATTCCTATAATGATTGACAGAATTAATTTAAAAAGAAACCAATTAGCTTAATGAGTTATAAAAATGAATTAGCCTTGACCCAGAGGATGCTGAGTAATGATATATCATAGAGGAAAAGAAAGGGGATAACCTCCTCAATTAAACAGCTTATTTACCCCTGATAGTTTTATTCAGGGGTAAATCTGGACATTATGGAGGAGAAATCATGTACTGAAGTACATAGGGTAATCAGAGACCTTAAAGTGACTCAGAAGAAGAAAAGACAAGCTGTCACTATGCAGATATACGATGAACTCGAGCTTACTCTGCAAAGGAGCAAGTCAGAACCTTCTGAAGAAAAGCAGTCAATAGGAAGAATCTCCAACCACTGGAATTGAGAGAAGACCTACTGCTGTCCTGACAAGAGCTAAGTCCTGGTCCCCATGGAGGGGCATAGAGAAGACCTGAACCATCAGAGAGTATTGCTCTCTTCCTGGACACTGTATCCTGGTGATGATGAAAAACCTTTCCGGCCTCATTAAACCTCCTGGTTGCTGCCCACTCCTGGTTTATAGGAGAAAAAATAGCATAATCAGAAGGGACAGGGCAAACGTCTTAAAGAACCACAAGTTCTTGGACAAGATACCAAGGGCTTGGAGAGCGCTGATGTTCCATTGCCTTTTTCTGCTGCTGGCTACGATTTGGGAACAGAGAGAAGGATCTGGAAGGTGAACCATTCTTTATGCAGAGAGTGTTTATGAATAAGATTTGGATGTCTGAACCATGCATTCAGATAATTAAATGAGGGTTTCTTGGCGGAGGTGGAATGCACATAATGAGAACCAGGAAGCATCACTTGCCCAGAGACTAGCCAACTGCATCAGGAAGGCTTTAAACCGAAGGAGGAAAGAGGAAAAATACTTCATAAGCCTGGAAGGCTGGTTGTTTTAGAGGAGAGCAGGTGTTAGATGAAGGGTGGTTGAGGGCATAGAAGAGAAAATTTAGGGTCCAAAAGCAATATTGTGATCTGACCCTCTTCCTAAACAGGATAAAATTAACTTTATATTAAACCCAAGTTGGTAGAGGGTACTTGGTAGGGATTATCAAGAACTACTGGGATGGTAATGGAGGCTGGAATACAACAATGATAGTTTATATTCTTTTCTAAGAGAAAAACTTATTAAGACGGAAGGAGAGTTAAAGTGTGTGTGTATCTACAAGAATTAATTTAAAGTTACTGAAGAACCGAGGAGTTAAAAGAAGAACCAAACTTTATTATGGGAGTGAACATGGCAAAATGGAGAAAATGAAAAATATAGTGAACATTTTATAGAGTGCTTGTATATGTTAGATAATAAATACTTTATTAACTATTTAATCCACACAACAGTCCTTTCAGGTGGGTACATTATTAACCTCATTTCACAGGTAAGAAACCTGATGGACAAAGAGATTGAGTAACTTGCTTAGGGTTCCATAGCTGGTAAATGGCGAGCCAGTTTCAAATGCCATCTGAAACTGTAGTTTGTAATTGACTGCTGCACTGTTCGGCCTCACCAGGGCTGTGCGAATGATGAATAATACTTTCTGGATACTTGTCACAAAACTGGCACAAGACATTTGCTGAAAGCTTCATTCAGCTTAGAACCTTAGGCATATTCTTGGCATGCTTTGCTAATAGGAAGAAGCTAGGGAAATTGTCACTTTAAATTTGTGAACAAGATGAAAACAAGCATGGGAGTGGGAGTGGCAGGGCTCACCATCAGGAAGGGGAAGTCTGGCATCTTCAGCCATGTACCCTGGACTTTAGCAAAGTCGACGTGAACGGGTTCATTTAAAAAGGTGAACATGATTCTGTGGCATATGCTGCCAAACAAGGAATATTGACTACCTAAGAGGTCTCAAAATGCAATTCTGATTGTGTTATAACAAATGATACCAATGAGTTTACGTCCAGAACATTGTTGCTCAGTTTCAGAAAGAGAGCAATAACATATCTGTTTATCTGTTTTTTAATGGACTTGGTGATCTTAGTCAATAGGAAGCTTATTAATAAGTCAGTAATTGGAAGCCACTTCAGCCTTAGGCTGCATTTATAGAAATACAGCATCTAGTGTGAGGAAACAGGTTCCATTCTGTCCTGGGTTGGTCAGACCGCACATTCAGCGCTGGCCACGTCACTTGAAATGGAATAAAATAACCCCTGGTCCAAGCAAGACTTTTATGTTTGTATTCTAAAAGTTTAGATTTTGACATACGCATACATGTATGTTATTCAGCTTATTCTTTTCAAACAAAAGCAATGGGCAAACTTGCGTTTCTGGAATAGCGGTGAGAATGGCAAACTATTTATGAAGACACCTTTAATTTTCGAAAATGCAAAGTATTTTCTCAAGTATTTCACCAAGATTTATGAAAAGGAGCAAGGGAGAATGCAGGTAGAAAATAACCTGAATTTTATACCTGTTAGAGTGGTATGCTATAAGCCATTCAGGATAGTGATATTACTATGTACAAGAGCTGGTTGGTGACCTTGGCAGATATGTTTTGCTCTAGAAGTGGTTGTATTCTATAACATTTTTTTCTTACCAGTGATAAATGTACACACAAATATCTATTTTTATTTTTCATTGGTTTTCCCCAGCTCACTTTTTGATTTTCTGTAATACCTTTGCCACTTTTATGTAACTACTTTGCCAAAAGTGGTTTCTTACAACCATATTCTTTCCAAGGAGCCTAACCTCTGGTTAGAATAGAAGCAGATTAAGAGGTGTAGGACAAGGATGGTCAAGGAGTTTGAAGCCACTTGAGAGTAACTTGCAGACCTTACGCTCCCAAAATGTGATATTTTAGGACACTGGAGCAACACAGAAATGAAGGAAGTGATGGGACTCTGAGGGTGGCTCCTGGGACTTCAGAGACTAGGAATAAATACTGAACACCCTCCACTCTCTCATTCTCTCACCTCTGCTTTTCTTTGGGTTTGGGCTCTCACAGGCTTCTATTCGTGGTGTCTCTCTCCCAGCCTCTGCTGGACAGATCATGCAGATGGCTCCTGAATGACTGATTTGGGTTACATGGCCATTCCTTGGACCAGTCATTGTGGCCACAGAGATTCCCGCCCATCTGGGTCACCACCTAACTGTTTGTGTTTGTGTGAGAGGAGGAAAGCAGGAGGGATGGGGTTAGGCACAGTGGAAGAACTGCAGAGACAATTTTCTGCTTGATATAAGAAAGTACTCGCAGTGCTGCTGAAAGCCCACGTAGGCAGCCTCTTGTGCTAGCTAGTTCCTACCACTGGACATGTTTATGGAGGGAGGGCAGGAAATGTTCAGCAGTGCTGTTGAAGGGTTCAGATACCACATGGACGTTTTGGCTAAGTACCCTTTAATATTCCTTTCAGCCTATGAGTCTGTGTCCATACAAGATGCTGTCATGTGATTTCCTGATGTTAATGACAATTACTGCCCATTTGTGTGGCACCTCACATTACAAACATGTTAACGATAGAAAATGAGTGTAGTAATGTACAGAACGTTTCTTTGAGCTTTGTAATTTCGTTACTATCCTATTCTCGCCACTCAGGTTTGTTTGGAAGTTTAGTATGCTTATGATTGAAATTTATGTGGGCATCTTGGGATTCAGCCACAAGATGTAAAATTCTTGGCCTCACACCCTCATGGGGTGTGGTGTGCTGCAGGCCGCAAAATAAGTGATCCGTGACACCCATATGAATAAATGCACGTATTTAATGTATATAGCTGTTGTCCTTGTAAGCCATAAAGATTGTCCAATATTCTACGGCCCCTTCAGGAGTTATTTGTAGGAGTTTGAGCCTATTACTTGGCTTTGTACATGAGGTGTTAATTTAGATAAATGTGAACATGATTAAAATAATGGTTTGATATTTCAGGAAGCTATGAAGCAGCTAACCCAGCTTCTCTCAAAGGATCTCGGAAAAGAGCTTTATGAACTTTGGGAAGTAAGTATATGATGGGTTGCTTTTTATTTATTGTAACTGAATTTATATGCCTCATTGGTGTTTTAGTTAACTTAGATTATTTTAACAAGCTGTGTCTAACTTACTACTTTCTGGTTTGTCTGTCATCTTTCAGCTGCTGCAGAAATTTCTCCTGGCTAATAGAATTTTTTTTTCCCTCCGATTTCCCCATTTTCTTTGTCACCATAATGCCCGGTGCAGATCTTGACTCAGAGCCCCTGGATTTCCTTATGTATTGCTCTCACCTCCAACCTTGCCAACCCCGTACCCACCCACCTCTTTCTGGTCCTTGAAAAGAGCATGGGCTTTGGGGTAGTTAAGAACCAGGTTTGACTCCCACCTCACTACTTCCTGGCTCAGTGACCTTGGGCACATTCCCCTCTCTTGAGTCTGTTGCTCATCTGTGAAACCCTGAAGGGTTGATAGGGCCGAGTGAGGTCAAGGTGAAGTGCTTCTTGATGCCCAGCACAGAACAGGGGCTCTGTCAGTGCGCTCTCCTTTCCAGGTGCTGCTGGTGGCAAGGACTGCAGAAGTAGGTTAGTTGGAGGGAAAGGTGGGGAGAGTGGAAAGAGCATAGAAAGCGATTGTGCTCCCATTGCTCCTCCCTTCCAGTGCTGTTTTTCATTTGTGAAGAGAAACCAAAGCAAAATACCCCTGCTTGCTGCAGTTTCTCACTTCCCTTCCACCCACCCTGGCTCTTCCTTGCTTGAGTCCCTGGACTGACTCCTTACTCTCGGATAGACCTTGCCTCCTATTCTCACTTTTCACAGTTCATTCAAAGCCCTACACCCTCCTCCTATATTCAGATCCTGATCTTCCGCCTTTTCTTTAACATCCTTGGGCCCCAACCCTGCCTAAGGCAGTGGGGTGTGATGTAAAGAAAGGCTTGCTGTCTGAGTCCTGGATTTGAATCCTACCTCCTGGCTATATGCCCTTGTGTGATTTACTTGGCTCTAGTCAACCTGCTTCTCTTCTAGAAAATGGGAGTAATAGAGCTCCACATGCCCTTCGCCACAATTAGAACATTTACAAAGTTCAGAGAAATCAGTTTAAAAAAAAAACACCCAAAGTCATTCAGCAGAAAATCTTACTTGAATCAACACGAGGCTTTTAGAGTCCCCACTCATCCACCTTGATGTGAAAATGAATATGCTTCGATGTAGAAATATCTGTTTGTTAACCGAGTCTGCCCTAGACCCCACTAGAGGCTTTCTGTAATATATACTATATGTACATTATTACTTTGTAAAATAAAATAAAAAAATGCTGGAAACTGAGACAATTTTGGCCTTAGGATTTAAGATGAGAGATTGTGGGCTTTTAATACCTACCTTGTCAAATAACCGTGAAACTTAAATCTGGCAAAGTATGCATGATATCTAGCTGGAACCTGGCTCAGGTGGTATAACAGAGTTTTTCTAGGAAAAAGAGTCCCTTATTCCAAAGTGTATACTTTCAAGTAAACTTTTGAAACAGTATGACTCAGAGAATAATAGAGTGGAGCTGGATTGCATTTCATACATAAAAAGGAAAAACTGACCCCTGAGCTTATGAAATTAATTCTATGTATTGTCTCTGAGGGAGGCAAGACCCTCATAATTTGAAAACTTTTTACAAAAATTTGTATATTCGTGCCTCATAATTATTAAACACAGTGGCAGTATCTATTAAATTATTTTCTTAGGTAGCCATTAACAACTGGCTAAATAAAGCTTACTGCAAAATTTACAACAATATCTTCCAAATGAAAACACTGTAACAGTCACATAGAAAGACTTTAGATTTGGAAAAATATGAAACAGAACATTAAATGACTCTATAACCTTCAAACAGGTAATGATTACATGATCTTGTGAAAGTCATTGGTTGAATTAGTTAAGCTCATTAAAGATCTCAGGACAGGTACAGTGTCCACCCTGGAATGTGACAGTCCTCCTTTAGAATTTTTCCAGCGGGGCCAATCAGTAACTTGAAGGAAGACAACAAAGGGTTAAATTACTTTATCGGTAATACCATGGGATGTTGATGACCCATTGTGGAGGAGAAAAGTTGTGAGCTTTTCTACTTTCTGACATGAACCTCATCTTTGTGTGCCATAAAAGGGTTAGGGAACTCTTTTTTATTTGTTGTTTTTCTATTAAGGGTCAGAGGGAGAAAATGTGGACCATATTATTTAAGGCCCTTAAACTCTTCTTAACCAATTTGCACACCCTGTGAATGAAGTAGCTGCTTCAGGTCTGTAGGGTGGGTCAGAGGGGCCCCAGAAGTACAGGCTGAGCATACTAGGTAAGAACAGGTATTAGTGAAGAGTGTGTATATATGTTTGCACACACTGCTAGACATATGTATATTTAAGCTTGTCTGGAAATCATTAAACTACAGGGGGAAATGTACATCCCTAGTATTTAATACTGTTGTAAAGAGAGTTTTGGACATTAGAATTGTCCTCAATTTCTTTGGCCATTTCTTTCCATCCTGTGCCTATTAAAGCCTGCTATTTTAAGCACTAGAGTTTCATTCTCTTTGTATACACTGTTCTTATTTTCACAGCAATAGAATCTTCTGACAAAAAATTCTAACTCTAAAAACGAGATAATGCATGCACTCTTATTCTCTCTCTCTCTTTGATATGGGTTGAATTGTGTCCCCCTAAAATTCATACGTACCTTTTAATGAGACCTAATTTGGATAGGACTTTTACAGAGATAATCAAGTTTGAATGACTGGTGTTCTTATACCGGGAGGATTCCATGTAAACATGAAGAAGGCCGTCTGTAAACCAAGGAGACAAGCCTGGAACAGGTCTTTCCCTCACAGCCCTCTGAAGAAACCAACCGGCCCAATACCTTGATTTCCAATTTCTAGTCTCCAGAACCATGAGGCAACAAAGCTTAAGTTTAAGCTTTAGGAAAACAGTTCTCTCCCCCTGTCCCCACCTCTCTCCCCACCACCCCCACC